AACATTTTTTTACTCTTATTTCCTTCATAATCTTTTATCATAACTTTATTTCAATAGGTAATGATTCTGATATTGCTATCATTACGCTTCACCATATTAATCAATTGTTGACTAAGTCAAGAAGATTTAGTGTTTATCAAGATAATATTTATTTATGCATCTTGCGCTGCAATATTGAAAGTACTGAAACACTGAAAATGCATAATGGCAATCTTAATGATGGAACATTTGTGGCCAGTAAAATTGTTGCAAATGTAACCCAAAAAACTTCAATTCCAATCGCATGACCATTTTATCATCTTTCACCAGCAGATGTCAGGGCTAACAATCTGTTGCAAGTAAGTGGCAAAGAGCGCCATCTATTCAATGGATAGGAGTTTTGTTTCACTTTACATTCAGTTGCTTCAAATTGAACTTGACTCTCATCCAAGACAGTTTGGATAATCAATAAATCATCAAGTTTCTTCAATCATGTTCCATGTGACAATTGAAATGAAATTGAATCTGAAATATTTACCTGTTTCCCTCCTGCATCAAAATGTTTCAAGTTTTCAATATTTTGGATTATTTTCAATGCATCAATGTAAAGTCGCTGTGTTTGTGTGAAAATTATTGAAAAAGTGATTATTATCGGCGTCAACTGTTGCCCTACTTTGTTGCTTCATATCGCACATCATTTCTCCTGCTAATCATTTAAAGAGAATTGAAGTTTTTTTTTTCAAGTTATTCAGTGTTTTGTGTCATTTCCGTCAAATCTATTGAGCACTCAAACTCAAATTTTGCTTGCAAACAAAATATGTTTCAATTGTGATTTGTGATTTCAAGGTATAATTCAATCAAACTTACTTCAACTCGATTACATACCATTCCGGAAACCGTTTTGTATCTCAATTTGATCTTCAATTCGAGATTCACTAATGGCGCAACAGTTGGAATTTACCTTTTGGATGAGATTTTTTCTTGTTTACTTCTACTTCAATCAGGGTAAGTGATATTTAAGTGCTTGCTTTGAATGCAAAGGAAAACAAAAGCAAAATCATTAATCAGAGATTTGCTGGAAAAGAGAAGAGACGCAAAATTAATCTTCACAGAATTGGAGCGAAAAGAATGAGCCAGAAAAAGTGAGCCTGAACAACTCATAACTAGAAATTGAATTAAGAACAAAATTGGCTCCAAATTGGTGATTGATTTAAACGCTCTCAAAATGTCTATCAAATTGACAAATATCTCTAGACCAGAAAAATCTTGATATTCAGATAACTGCTTTTGATTGCAAGGAAATGGCGATAAAATTGATTTCACTATTTGAATCAAAGGTTGCTAATGGAAAAAAATTCATTATTTTGTTTCAATATTTGCTTGAAACAAAATCACAATTGAGCCAATTATTTCTACTAAAAGATGATTTGATCAAAAAACTGTAAAACTTTAAATCTCCAAAATCGTATGAACAAACAAGATTCTAAGGCAAAAGATCAACAATATTTCGTTTCATCCTCATTACACATGAAATCTCTTTACTCAATTAGTCCTTGATAACAAGCTGATTTACAATCAACTTTACTCTTTATCCATGAAATTAATCAACAACTGAATTTAATCAATGAAACTATTAAAGCAAGTCCAAAGGGAAACTGAATAGCAACCTTCACCCAACACTGAAGAAAAGTTGAATTTTTCATTTCTCTTCAATTGCTATTGCAAAAAAATACTCATTCTGAAGTTTCCATTTTCCATTGAACTTTTTGCAAAACATTGCCATTGAGTTTCATTCGTTGCTGATTACATGATAATGTAAGATGATTTTGGGTAAACTTTTCTCAATAAATTGTGAACATTTCAATTCTTTTTATCTCTTGTAATTTGTTTAACCCTCAGCCTTGAGGCTTTTCATTCCTGTGCAAGTAATTATCATTATCCTTATTAGCATGATTAGTATTTAATATTAAATGATTAAAGGTAAGGCTTCAACTTTTCCATTCGATTAAAGCTGAATTACATGAATGTAAAGAAACCAAGTTAACCTTTTCTTCATTTCACCTTTTATCTTGTTCATCTTTCAAATATAAATTGAATCATGCTTTGTCTCAATGAAACACTGAATTCATCCAAATTGAGAGTTTAATTAGCCAAGGATAAACATTACTGTTTAATTAGTTTGTCCAGTTTGTGAGCATAATTATCATTTGCATTATTCATTATCTCATGTTCAACATTCATTCAATATTTACTCATCAAGTAATATTAGCAAAGGAAAAGAGAGGGGAAAAAATCTCTTGATGGATTTTCTTGTTGACAGGAAAATTGACTCAATTTTTTGCTTCTCTCTGCCGTTAATTGATTATCAGAAAATCAAAATCATTACATGATCATTAAGCTGAGAATAAAGAAGAAAAATTTCTTCTCTTGATATTGAGATCGGTATTCAATTCAATAATTAAGTGCAACTTTTCATTCATCATTATCTTCCAATTATTCATTAGATAATTGGAATTAAGTGAAAAGAAAACAATGTCAATCGAGGAAAAAGTTCATGTATCGCTGTGAAATTTTCTCATGTCAACATGGAAATTGTGAAATTCTAAAATAACCACAAAATTTTCAAACTCGAGCGAGTTTCTCAATGTTGCCTTTCGATTCATTCGTTTACCAAAAGTTGAGAATTTTTTTTCTTCTTCTTTTTTCCAAACTCTGTTTATCCAAACATCATGCAACTCCAAGATTACACCTGAATCACACTTGAAAAACTTTTCTTTAACCATCTTGTTGCACATTATCTTCGTTCATGTTAACTTTATCATCATAATCATCATTATCATTTGTGTTCTGGTCAACCATCATCTTCAGTTCTTCAGCCCATAACCTAATAATCATTACTCTGCACGAAATCAAACAACAGTGATTATTTCTTCTCTTTTTATGGTTTTTATTCTTTTCTCAATGTAATGTAATTTACCTTTTCCAGCCACAAATAACCTCGCAAGAACTCGCGATTTATCGAATTAATAAAAGTTGAAAGATGAAGGGAAGAAAGTGAGCAAGAAGAATGCAAAAAGAAAAACAAAACAGACGAGAAAAATGTGATTTTCATCTTGTTCTGTTTTTTGACTGTTGACCATCACTCTATCCATGTAAGCTGAATCTTTCTTCTTCTGCCACCAGAATCATCTTCTCTCTTGAAAGCAATATAAGTTCAAATGAACAAGATGAAGAAAATGTCTCGTCAGTTGTCTGCTGTATTCATCTGGACTTTCTCCAAGTTTTCATTTCATGTTTTTATCTTTTCCATCATGCTTGAAACTTCACTTTGAACATTAAAGCTTGAAAATCGATTCGTTTCGGGTCATTTCTGTTTCTTCCTATTGATCCTTTTCGGATCAGAAATGCAATGCTAAAAGTCAATCCGTTCTAAACATCAAGCATTTTCGTTTAAACGGATAAACTCTTCAAACTTACACATTTAACATTTTATCAAAACTTTATACGAACTACTTTTGTCCATTGTAATACTTAAGTTCAAAGCTTTCAATTGAATCTAATTGTTCAACTTTGCATTTATTAATAGAATGAAAATATTTATATTGGTTGATCAAAACTGTTAATAGAATGAAAAAGGACAATTTATTTGTGAATACTTATTATGCTTCCAATATCACACAATTATCAGTCTTATTAGGCATTTCCAATCGAACAATATATTAATATTTAGCAAAGTCCAACAACTAATTGAAGGCGCGTTCGAAACATGTTCGAGGTTTTGATTATGAAAGACTTGGATGAAACTGCAATTACTGAAAAAATATGAAAGAACAATTTTCGCATTCCGGTGATACAACATTATGCTAAATGTATGAATATAATCTGATAAAAATAGAAATATTAATGCAATAAAGTGCCTCGAAATCGGATGAAAGGAATTTTGTTCAAGAAAAATTTTGTTACATAGACATTGTTTCACTATAGCAATACATATTTTTCTTGTGACATTTATGAGTTTTTGTCCTCGAGGGACTTTTTCATCAATGTCTTTATACTTCTCCTCATCCTTTGCTTTATTATCATCATCACCATCTTCATTATCATCAGACTTTTTCTCGACTTTTTTTTCTGTTGCCAACTCTGATCGACTTTCACTTTAATGTTACTTTATTGGCACTTAAATGACTAACATTATCTAATAATACAAGCTTTTCTCGCCTTTTAAAAGCCTCTCATCAAATTAAATCAAGTCAAGTAAACTTGATTAAATCTAATTTGAGCCTTCATTTCTGCCTCCATTAACATTTCCCATCAAAATTATTATACATCATCTTTTCATCTAAATCATCGCCATCATAACTATTATCTTGTGATTAGGCCAAACAATAGGAGAAATGAAGAGAACAATTCTGCAGCTGAAAGAAAGCTTCTGTGAAATTATGGACAAAATTGTTTTTCTTTTGAGTTGCATCTTCGAGACGAAAATAAGTTTATATTCCATAAATCAAGCTCAATCAAACCATCGAAAGTGGCTCGAAACGAAATTAAGCATCTTGATCGAATCAATGATTCGGAAAAATACTGAAATTAGCAGACGATTAACCACTCTAATGAATATCAAACGTTCCATTCGGTCATAGGATTCTCATAGCGGTGGAAAACAAAAATTGCTCCAAAGATGTTGAACACTGTTATGTATTTGACACCTCTCGACGCGTTCAGGGTAATTCATGTGCCAATTTTTTTAAGACTGAAAATATTCTCAAGTTACAGTCAAATGTAGAGTTTATGAGACATACGATATCAGACATGCCGAGCAATCAAAGTAAAGCTAATGGAAGTTTTTCAGAATTTAATTGAATCTTGAAGTCAGGTTCGTTTTGCTCATAAATGCTTAGATGCGTGCCTTGCTCATTGTTGTATGTTCAGAGTTTTGACATTGAAATTTGTCCAGCTAATCGAGTTACGACTTTAAAAGTTTATTTAAATAGCACTCAAGGTTTTAATGGATCAATCCCAGAGATTTGAGTTTAATAACTGAAAGTAAATCGTCCGTTCAATGAAATTGGAGACTTTTTCCACCGACAGATGTCAAGACCAGCAAAGAAGCGCCATCTGTTCAGTTGATTCAAGTTTCATTTCACTTCATGTTCAGTTGATTCAACTTGAACTTGACTCTTGACCATTTTGTACCAAACAGTTTGGAATATTAATCGCCATTCAAAATCCTTCCAATTAAATCATTTTTTTGTGCAACAACAATTGAAACGAAATGCTACTCATTTTCATCAGAATTTTTTAAATCTATTTCATTCTGGATTATTGTGATTTAATACTCATTACTGTTGACAACTTGTCAATTCGGTTGTGTTTGTGTGAAAATCGTAAAAATAATTGAATCACAATTGGATTTGCCTGGTGATTATCTTCATCAACCTTCCCTTAGCTTTGGTTAGCGACAATTTGCTAATTATTTTTCCATCTAAAGTTGATTATCTCAAGAAAATTCCCAGTTTTCCAATTATTCAGTGTTTTGTGTCTTTTCATCTGCTCGTCTTCAGCTGGTTTATACGTTTAAAGAGTACACAGTTTTCATGTTCTAATCCTTTTTCACCGTAAATCACTCGATCTCATCCAATTGATTATCCTTTCACTTCTGGGAACAAGATTTGCTAATGGCGCAACAGTTGGACCTTGCCTTTTGGTTGACAATTTTTCTTGTTTACTTTTACTTACACCAAGGTGAGTTGACATCATTATAACTGCAATTTGACTGGAACCAATTGCATTGGATAAAAACCTATTTTTTGCTCAAATTTTACAAACAAAATATACTTTTCATGTCCAACCAATTAGATGCACAACAGTCCTGAGCCTCTTTTGAGAAAAAAAAGTTTCATTACTTTTCCTTCATTTCATCAAGTTGATGTCGATGAAAAAGCACGCACTTGAAGAAAGTTAATGAAGATGAAACTATTATGAACTATCATAGCGAGTTAAAGGCCCAGCAACATGAGTTTGAGTTTGTTGAAAAGTTGCTCAAAATTTTTAATTTGACAAGTTGATTAGCTGTAAACCGTAGGCGACATGCAAAGTGAGATTTGAAAGCAACACACAAACAAGTGAAAAGACAACTGGAAGAGCAAAAGAAATGAATGAATGAGAGAAGAAAAATGAACGCTGAAATAACTGATGAGAAGACATGATTGGGGAACAAAAAATGGCTATCAATTGAAACTGGTAAAGGAAGATGAACATTATGATGGTGAGGGTTGAAATAGCAAGATTGTGATGAAAAGTGAGCAAAACCTTGACTTGGAATGACTGTTGGAAGAGATAAATTGAAGACAGCAAAATGTTGCTCATAATATTGTTCAAGATGAGGCTGAGGGAAGGAGCGACAAAAATGGTGTAACACAATATTTATGCATTTGAATGAAACTGAATATGGGTGAACAAGTTGATTAGTCAAGATTAAACAGTGAAAAGTGAACAAACATGGGCGAAATTAGTTTGGTGAAGAAACTTTTTATTATTGGATTGCTTTGTGCCCTTCTATGTTCAGTGATTGATTGTCCTCAATGAATCGTGAATATCATTTTATTAAATTTGAAAGATTGGACTGACTCTCTTTTGACTCAACATTGAGGCCATTTTGTTCTGCTTCAAAAGTTTAAATTGATGGAGAAAAGGGCAAAATTGCTTCGATTGCTAATTTTTGCTTCTTTTGTTTCTTGTCCATTTCTTTCGATTCACTCAAACTTCATATTTCATCTGGAAATCATTTCAAACTTTGAGACTATTGAAAAGACAAAACATTGATAAACTCCATTACAAATGTTGACCATTTACTTTTGGATTCAATTTTGATTGCAATTTACTTTCTCTAGTTGTCAGAATTTACCTCGAATTTCAAAAAGAAGAAGAAAAAAAGAAAATTTCATGATTGACCAACTTTTTTGCTTCAAATGCATGAGATTGCAGAAATGACTAAATGAAATTTTCTTTCGATTTCATCAAACATCAACAGTAAATCCTGTCAACCAAAAGGATACCAACATTGAATCAACTAATCAAGCGAATAAGAAATGCATACTTTCGTTCAACATTTTGCTTAAAAGAGTTACAAGATTGAAAATCGTAGTTGCTAAAAATGTCACTAAAAACCGATGATAGCAATACACTGAAACATTTACAGCTACAGTGAGACACACACAATGTGATCTATTAGTTTATAATAGTTTGATTTGGCATGATGGAAGAGTTTAAGCAACAATTAACTATCGATAATGATTTGCATGCAATATAAACATCAAGAAACCTAATGACTATAAAATATTAGAAAAGTTCAAAGGTAAAACCTTGGAAGGTAAAAAATATGAACCGCTTTTTCCTTATTTCGCTTCAAGAAAATCGGAAGGAGCTTTCAGAGTGCTTTGTGATGGATATGTTACTAGTGAAAGTGGTACTGGTATCGTTCATCAATCGCCTTATTTCGGTGAAGACGATTATAGAATTTGCTTGAACTATGGAGTTATTACCAAAGAAGGGCCAATGGTATGTCCTGTGGATAATAGTGGTCGGTTTGTTGAACCTGTAAACGATTTTCTTGGACAACATGTTAAAGATGCCGATAAAAACATCATTAAGCTTCTTAAAGAAAGGAAACGGTTGGTGCAATCTGGTACAACTAAACACAGTTATCCATTCTGTTGGCGATCAGATACTCCTCTGATCTACCGTGCAGTTCCTTCGTGGTTTATCCGAGTTGAACAAATGACAAGTAATTTATTAAAAAATAACCAGGAAACCTATTGGGTCCCAGATTTTGTTAAAAAAGACAGATTTGCTAATTGGTTGAAAGATGCTCGTGATTGGGCTGTTTCTAGAAATAGATATTGGGGTACTCCTATTCCAATTTGGACAAACGATGATGGGTCTGAAATAATTGTCGTGGGCTCTATTGCTGAATTGGAAGAACTTTCCGGTGTAAAAGTGAATGATTTACACAGAGAATCTGTCGACGATATTACCCTCCAAGAAAAATGGTCAAGCTTTACGACGGGTGGAAGAAGTTTTTGATTGCTGGTTTGAAAGTGGGTCCATGCCTTATGCTCAAGCTCATTACCTCTTTGAAAATAGAAGAAAATTCGAAGAGAATTTCTCTGCCGATTTCATCGCTGAAGGAGTTGATCAAACTAGAGGCTGGTTTTATACTCTTCTAGTTTTATCCACTGTTCTCTTTGATCGTCCTCCTTTCAAAAATTTAATCGTCAACGGTCTGGTATTGGCAAGTGATGGTCAAAAGATGAGTAAAAGTAAAAAGAATTATCCAAATCCTATGGAAGTTGTCGATAAATATGGTGCAGATGCGTTAAGACTTTACTTGATCAATTCACCTATTGTAAGAGCTGAAAACTTGCGATTCAGAGAAGAAGGAGTTCGTGATATTTTGAAAGATGTTTTCCTACCCTGGTTCAACGCATATCGTTTTCTCATTCAGAACGTTCAACTTTATGAGAAAAATACCGGTGCAAATGTCATTTTCGACCCATCTAAATTATCAAAGCCAATTAATCCAATGGATCGCTGGATCTTATCATTTGCACAAAGTTTAATCAAATTTGTGAAACAAGAAATGAAAGCTTACCGGCTTTATACGGTTTTACCTTTAGTCGGATTCATTGAAAACCTTACCAACTGGTATGTTAAAATGAACCGAAAGCTTTTCAAGGCTGATAAACGAGCTGAATGTTGACCTTGCGTTGAACCTGATCATCAAATGTTGCTATTTCAATGTTTAACTAGCGCTGAATATAAATATTGATTTGATCATAATCATGATTATATTTACTTTAATGATGATCAATTTGAAGTTGTGAGCAAATGTTTCAAAGGTAATTTCATTTGCATTCCAAATGATTTTTAATTGAGTATTAATATTGCATAGCGATTAACAACTGGATAAAATATTGTTGCTTTATTTAAATGTGAGGGGAAAAATGAGTCTAATTGTACATTTGCTATGATTATTGTTGGAGAAAAAAATGTTGGCAAAAAATGTAACTCACTTTATTGTAAGGCTAATGTAATGAAAATGAATACAATAATGAATTACAGGGAAGGTGATTATATCTCTCATTGTCATCATCATTATCATCATTTCCTTCAATTACACAATTAAAATTAATCTATCTTCTCTCAACTGTTCTCTTCTCCCTGTTGACAATCTAATAACTCATAACAATTAAACAGTGAGTTAAACAGAAGAAGAAGAAGAAGGGCAAGAATAAAGGAAAATATCATTTGGATGGCAATTTTATCTCTACTCTGGTTAACCAGGGATGAAAGTAAAGGTTGAAGTTGGGGAAATACGAGCTTAATGGACTTGTGCACGAGCTTTGACTCACCGATGATAATGATAATGATGTTGATGTTGATGATGAGGGAAGGGATGAAAATAACGTTTTACGTGTTCCTTCAACTTGCCTCTTGTCCTGTTTCCCGTTTTCACTGTATTAATCAAGGCTAATTAGAGACCACTTACTCTTGATTTGATCTTAAATGTTCATCTCTGGTCATCAGAGTTATTGTTTCTTCCTCTTGGATTAACCTTTACAAGCGCTCAACAGACTTCAGAGTTTTTACCTTCAAGTTTAACCTGTTTGTATTAAAGTTGAGCAAACATTATTAGCTTTACTTTGCATTGTTAGTGTAACAAGAGATGAAACTTTTGGAACTTTTGGAAAGCCTTTTGTGAGCAATTCAATTCTAGTTGTTTGGCATTTAGCACTTGTTAGCGTTATCAATTGAATCAAAGTTGATTGTTGATCGAGTCAATATTTTGACGTTGCTGATGAGTGAACACAATTTGATTCTAATTTTAAACGTTTCAGCTATTTTTAACTCTCAATTGTATTGCCATTTACACCAACATTGACATTCATTGACAGCTATTGTTCATTCAATATGTTTAGTAAAGTTTTCATTTGTTTATGCTGAGATTCCCCCTGAACTTGAACTTGTCCAAATTAAAGTTGTGATTGCTTTTTTGACTCTCATTTGAACTTCGTGTTTATGATTAGTTTTTAGCTTTTGCTTCATTTACTTCTTATCATCATCATTGGCTGGTAATTGAGAACCAACTTGAAATTAATATCTTTTCTGTTGAATCACGAATTGTTTACTGTGGCATTAATCTGGATAAGATTTTAATTAATATTACTTTGATTATTCTCATCTTTTACTCGCTCCATTGCTAAAGTAAGGTAAATATCAATTGATTCAATCATCATTTTAATGTAAATAATTAATTAGACCTTTTTTGATAGTATCAAAGTTAATTATAATTACTTGGAAATGTTTATCAATAATTTACTTTGTTTATCTCTGCATGACATGGTAAAGGTGAAATACTATTCAAACTGAAACAGTATTAGAGTAGGAAAGGTTTTATCATTCTGGTGATGATTAATGTTAATCTATGTCAACAGCTATACCAACACGAATCAAGAATAAGATTGAATCAACAAAAGATTAGAATCGACATGCAAAATCTGTCTGGAATCTTGTTTTCAATTTTCATCTGAAAATTTCATAAAAATCGGAAACTCTTGATTCGTCAATTCCATTGCTGTGAAAATTAGCCGAAAATACAAGTTTTCATATTATCGTAAGTTCTTCGAGAATTTTACCAAAATTGTTGAACTTTAGATAATCAGAATAACATTGATAACTTGTTTGCTTGTAATTCAATGAATGAACTGAGCAGTTAAACATCGGTAAACAGTTGAAAGATTTACATGATTTCTTGCTTCTTAACTTACATTTCAGATTAACATTGATTTAAATTTTCATTGCAACAGTTAGGTAACTGTTACTAATGCTGTTAATTGTTCATCATTTAAACTTGAATTCTGTTGCAAATTATCTCAACTTTTCTTTGCCCTCGAGGTTATTAATAGTGAGGGAAAACATTAATTGGAAAACCTGTAACGATCAAATAATAATAAAATTAATAATATAATACATTTGAGGGAATCTTAATGGTAAAGGTTTGGCCTGTAATACTTTTCCAATTACACTTTGCAAAGATGCAGGGGAAGTGATGAGCAAATTGAAATGGAAAAATTAATTTAATTTGAAATTCAATTTACAAAATTAGAATCAAATTAATAAAGATTGTATTTATGGGGCTTTAAACACTTGTAACCATTTTAGGCCATTCCAAACCAATCAAAGGTAACATTATTCAACCTTCATTTTACCTCATCTATTTCAATTGATGAGAAATTTCATCAAATTATTGAACTTGAAGGGTCGGAGGGGAATCGCGATGAACGATAAATTCAATCATTTACTGATCAACTGAAACAATTACTAGACTAAAGTGATAACCAGAAAAGGATTCAAGATCATTTCAAGCTTCAACTCGAAACCATTTCAAGTTTCAACTTTAAATTCAACCTTTAAATGAATAAACACTCGAACTTGTTTATCAGTTTTAGTTGAAATTTCGAACATGAAAATCTTGAAATTGTAAACAGAAAGAAAAATTGATTATTTTGTTCATTTTTATATCAATGAACCGAAAAAGTAATTTGAATAAAAGAGCTTTTAGAGAGAAAAAAGTTCGCTAGATGTCGCTGGGCAAAAGTAAAGCGCCACCTACAGTGGAAAGAGAAAAGTTGATTTTGTCTTGAGCTTCAAGAGTTTAGTAGTAAAGTTGATCCTCTTTTGGCAACAACGTGTCTCTAAAGCTCACCCTTATAGTGATTATTTAACAATGGATTAAGCTGATGTGAGCCCATCTTGATCATGAAATTGAATGAAAATTATCATCAACAGGAAGAGAGATAAGAATGAATGTAAACAATGAATTACGTCTTTTCTCAATTACCTATTAATAACCAAATATTGTGTCCTTTGACCCAATAAAGTGATCAGTTTAACCAAAAGTGAAGCAGCCAAATATCACCTGTTGATAATGTTTATCATCTCATTGAAAACCAATCAATTTGGATTAAAGTAATCTATTAATCTCACTCTAAGTTTTACCTTCAATCACTTCAATAACTTCATCATCATCATCGTAATAATCATCAATTTTTTACGTGAAACAAATTAATTTATGTGCAAACATGACATGAATCAGAACCCAATGAATGAGCAAACAATTGATTCTGGATTAACTGTGATTTCATCGTTTCTCTCCTTTTAGGTGATTAAGTTTACTTTGGATTCAACATTTTCCCCTAATCAACAATCAACAAGAACTGAATCATCTTTAATTGTCACCAAGATGACATTAATAACCACTTTTTGGACTCTTCTTGTCATCTGTAGTTTAACATTGCAAGGTAAGACGCTTTACTTTAACCGTTTCAAATTATCAATTAAACCAGAAAAGGTTCACATTTGTTTAACCATTACAATGAACCAGTGAACAAGATTGTCTTATCACTATTGCCATGGATAGTTGACCATTTTACCTTTAATTTAATCTCACTTTTAGCTTGCTTTAAAAGCTCGTAATCAGTTGATAATTGATAATTGTAAATGCTTATGCAAAGTTATACAAAAAATTGTCGCCATCAAAGATAAATTGAAGACTAGTGTTATCAATTGTCTACTAATGCATTTTATCAATTGCCATCTTGATTCATCAGGAAATAGCTTTGAAGCAAGGAGAGAAGAAAATGATTGATCATTTTCAATTTGTACTGATTTAATCTAATTGCTTCATCTTTTTAGCTCTAATCAGTTGGGTTTGTGATAACAAAAGTGAACCCAAAAATGGTATCAACAAAAAAAATCATAACTCAATGAGAAAAACAAACAGAACTTTGAGTTATGTAAAGCGCAAAATGAAATTTCCTGTCGCTAAATGACAAGAGTAAATAAGAGTCTCTTTTGCCGCTGCAAAGAGTTTAGTTTCTGTCGCTAAAATGCAAATAAATGGCTTCAGATAATCGCTTAATCTGTTGCAAGAGAGTTACCTTTTCAGCTAAAAGTATCGATTGAAAATCTAACTGTTGAATGCTGTTGAGTCCATTTGCTAATCATTGTGAGCTGCTAATGATTTCTGCTTTTCCAACAAATTTTACTGTTAATTGAAGTGGACATTTACATGGAAAATTGAATTTTTCTTACATTTGGTGCAATATTTTCGAGACTCATTTCGATATTCATCAAGAGTTGCTTTTGCCAATGTAAATGTAACTACTTGAGGGAATCAAAATTGACTAACAGAAACAAAGCAAATATTAGAACAACTTTTCTTTCTTTTCCTTTCTTTCTTTTCCTTTCTTCTTTTCTCATCATCAAATGAGTAATTCCCCTGTTTGTCGATTCAACATGAGACATGGATTAAGGATAGAGTTGAACCATGGAATTGAAAGGAATAACTGAAGTATCTAAACTATTGAGATTATTTGATGGAAAAAGAAATGTTTTTTTTTCTCGTTTCTTGTAAGCGTTAATAATGTTTGACTGATCAACATTTTTGCTGCATTCAAATATTAATATTGCAAATTAATGGTAAAAGTTGAATGTTTGATTAGAACTGTTCGAAGAAGAAGAAAAGGATAATTTCTCCAACAACAAAAGATGATAATCATGCTTCTATTGGGAATAAAGTAAAAGTTTGAATAAACATTTTTGTTCAGTAGACATCAATCTTGTCCCTATTGCTATATATTATGCAGAATTATCATCATTATTGTAAGATATTTCCTTAGTTCAGGGAAAAATGGTTTGAGAATAAATTGATAACTTTACGCTATTGGACCATTGAATGTTTTAGCGAATCATGAGGATGATGTTGATGATGAAAAGATGTAATAATATAGATTTTCACATGTTAAGAGTCGAGTATTAACTGATGAATGAACATGCTAACTGGGAGTGATAAGAATCCCTTGTTGATGTATCAGCATCACTGACTCTCTCTCGCTCTTGGTGAATGAATTAAGTGTTATCTTGTTATTTTTACCCACAAATAACAGTGACATAACTTTGCTTTCTATCAATCAGAATATTTTATTAAGCTGTAATAGGAATGGGTAAAGTGAGTGATAGGAAGCAAGAAGGAAAGTTATGATGAAGATGAAAATGAAGCCAATTTTGACAGATTCATGATCAACTTGAATATAATGAGATTTACATTTGAGACAGGCGGTAAGAAGAAGCGAGGTAAAAATTGTATCAACAGTAAACTTTTGTTGTTGATCATCTTGAATATGGCAAATCAAAACATGAAAAGTGTGGAAAGAGAAGAGGAAAGTTTTAAAAATTTGGATCTTCTCATTTTGAATAGCGAAGTATTGCAAATGCAAGAAATTTTTTCACTTTCCGAGTCTGCAGATTTGCCTTGAGGTTATCCAAAGTTCAACTGAGCAATTCTGTGATCGCGAAAATATTGTTGAACACAATTTGCAAAGGTTTAAATTTGATGTTTATTAAGCTAGATTCAAACAAAACTACAACTTGATTTCAATTTTACTTTTCCTTTAACTGATTAAAGGCAATAGTCATTGGCTTATTTTGCATCATGATTGTAACAAGAAACTGTCAAAGTTGAAAAAAATCGTTATCTAACCTAACCTTGAATCTTTGAATCAAAGTTGAAAATGTTGGATCACTTCATCTGATTGCACCAGCAAGCGGTGATAATAAACGATGACTAAAGTTGATTTGATGCTAGCAAACATTTTCAACTCTGACAGACAAGTTTTAGTGAAATGAAATGGAAACGTGTAAACAAATTTTCCAATATTGATAAGATTAACCGACACAAAAAGTCCAAGAATTGAGTCATTGGAAAAAAGTTCATTTTCTGACTAAAATTTTGATTTGATTTGATTTGAAATGATTGAAAGGAATAAAATTTTTGCCCACTCGAGGTCGATAACTTAAGCAGTCATACACGTTGATAAAATTGTAAAACTTGTGAGAATCGATTAATTTTCTTGGTTCCTGTTTTTTGATAACTTTTCGAGTTTCAATATTGTTGACATTTTCCTTCAATTTGGCCTTTTATTTACTTGCGACAACCTGTTTTTCAAGATAATTAAATTAATAAATGAATGATTAGTGCAAGAAAAATTAGTCTTGATTAATTTGAAGACTTCTCTACATTTCCAACCTTTTTTCACCGTAATCTCATCATTCATTTATTACATCATGAGCAGAGTGTTTATGAGTTTCTCAATTTCAATTCTTTTCCTTTTAATCTTTCACCTTGTTCCATTTGGAAACATTCATTACCTTAACTCACTTCTCAAATCAATTTCATTCAACTTTCATCCAAAAGTCAATTCGTAAAGAGAAGAAATAGTTGAAGAAAAAAATTCAGTGCTGAGTAAAAACAAGAAAAATTCATATTCACCTTATTCATTCACTTAATCATTTCTCATTAAATGCATCAATTTAACATGACTTCAATTCTTGTACCGGTTCCAAGTAACCAAAGATCATTTTTCAGGCAAACATCTGAAACTTGTTTCCCAACAAGTTGAGGGTGAAGCCCAACACTATCAAAGGTGATGAATCCAAAAAAAAGTTCATTATTCGTTTCAATATTTGCTTCAAACAAAATCACAATTGAGCCAATTATTTTTACTAAAAGATTATTTGATGAAAAAAGTTTCAAAAGTTTAAATCTCCAAAATCGTATCAACAAACAAGATTCTAAGGCAAAAGATCAACATTATTTTCTTTTATCCTCATTTCTCGTTAAAATCTCTTCACTCAATTAATCCTTGATAACAAGCTAATTTACAATCAACTTTACTCTTTATCCATGAAATTCATCACCATGAGTTTAATCAATTGAAACTGAAAAGCAACCTTTACCAAACACTGAAGTTTTCATTTCTCTTCAATTGCCATTCCATTGAACATTGCCAATGAGTTTCATCTATTGTCAATTACATGATAATTTTGGTGCAATTTTCTCCATGAATTTTGAACATTTCAATTCTTTTCATCTCTTGCAATTTGTTTAACCCTCAGCCTTGAGGCTTTTCATTCCTGTGCAAGTAATTATCATTATCCTTATTAGCATGATTAGTATTTAATACTAAATGATTAAAGGCAAGGCATCAACTTTTCCATTCGATTAAAGTTGAATTACATGAATGTAAAGAAACCAAGTTAACCTTTTCTTCATTTCTCCTTTTATCTCGTTCATCTTTCAAATTGAATCTTGTTTTGTTAACTTTTGTCTCAATGAAACACTGAACATTATCCAAATTGAGAGTTTAATTAGCCAAGGATAAACATTGACTGTTTAATTAGTCTGTCCAGTTTGTGAGCATAATTATCATTTGCATTATTCATTATCTCATGTTCAACATTCATTCAATATTTACTCATGAAGTAATATTAGCAAAGGAAAAAGAGAGAGAAAAAAATCTCTTGATGGAATTTCTTGTTGACAGGAAAATTGACTCAATTTTTTCTACTCTCACTGCCGTTAATTGATTATCAAAAAATCAAAATCATTACATGATCATTAAGCTGAGAATAAAGAAGAACATTTTGCTCTCTTGATATTGAAATCATTATTCAATTCTATAATTAGGTGCAACTTTTCATTCCATTCATCATTATCATCCAATTATTCATGAGATAACTCGAGTTGAGCGAAAAGAAAACAATGTCAATCGTTAGAATGTTCATGAATCGCTTTGAAATTTTCTTGTGTCAACATGGAAATTCTGCAATTCCAAAATAGAACCACAAAATTTTCAAACTCGAACGAGTTTCTGAATGATTTCGATTCTCGTTTACCAAAAGTTGAGAATTTTTCTTCTTCTTTTTCTTCCAAACTCTGTTTATCCAAACATTGGCTTTCCCCTGAAATAACCGTAAATCATTCGATACTTGATTGAATTGATTGATGAGCTTTCTGTTTAGTTTTCAAGCTTTTCACAGAACCATTAATTGGAGCCAAGATTGACATTCAACGATAGTTGAGACACTAAAATAAAACAAAAGTAGTTGCAACAAAAAAGGGCAAAAGTTTCAAGTCTCGAATGATCAGAAAGTGATCAGAAAGAGAATCGGAAAGAAGGTCGAAAATGACGAAAATGAAAAGAACTGAATGTTGCTGTTATTTTTGGTTCTTTTCATGGAAACTCGTAGTTTATTGAATCCATCACCTTCTTTTTTACATCCATTATCGTTTCCTGTTTCAATATATCAATCTAATTATCTAAACTTTTCCCTCTCAAAGTTGACATGAACTCATTCAACCTTTAAACTTTGTCTTATTTCACCTTTTCTTTCCATTCCAATATTTACTCTCAATCTTTCAATTCAAACTTTTTAATGTTTATATTATTACTTTTCTTAA